AATTAGCATCCTTAATTCCCAGATCAATAAAATGTGTAATTAAAAGGAAAGGTGATGTGACACACTGGTAAACATGCCTCTCTCCCAGCCTTTTTGGAGTGTGTTGTAGCCATCAAAATTGGTTTATATTTATATTAAATTTATATCAAAATACAATTACGTTGGTCAGTGAAAACATTGGAATTTTTTGTTTCTTTGTGCTTTAGTCAGTTAAATAAAGGTTAAAGAGAATTAACAAATCACAGATTCTTGATTTCATGGCCTTTCACAAAACGTCCCAGCTTTTCTGAAATTGGGGTTGTAGTTATATGCATACTGTGATTCACCGATCCTGTGTAGTGTTCCTGAATCAGTAATTCTGTAGTAATATTCCCATCAACCAATCAGAATTTAGAGTTTGGGGTAGTAAAATGTTTTAGTAACAGCAGGCTATTATTATTTCTGTCCTGTCTCAGAGGTAGGTAGGGTTAGGTTTAGGTCTGTGCTGATTTGACAGAAATGTTGTTCCAGGAACAAAGAACTAAATGTTATTGTATTTTATTTATTACATTTTGTTTAATGTAATAAATTGAGTAAAAATATTAAATAAAAATAAATCTAAATTATAACTTATAATTTTAAGTACATATAATTATAATATTATAATTTTTATAATTATAATTAAATGGGCTTTTAACATTTTAAAAGTTGTTTTACCTTCAGTTTTCTCTGTTTTTGCAGTTATTAAAATAAATCTAAGATTGTGAGACTGAAATATTAAATGCTTTTATTTTCAATAAAATATTATTGAATGACTATATATAGAATGAAAAGTATTTAAAAATAAATATACATCTAAAAAATAAGTTTTTAAAAATGTTTAACCGTTTAACCTTCAATTTTCTTGTATTGTTTTATGCTTTTTCAAATATCGTGTCATTGGCTTAGCAAAATCTAACAGAATGAATTATTAGTTAATTAAGTATTATGTCTCCTAAAATTTTAATGCAAATTCATTTAAAATTATTTTATTTTTAAAAAATCAATTGATTATTTATTAAAGAACATAAAGACCAGTGCTGCAGGAAAAAGGATGCTTTTTTCCCTTTCTTTTTTGTGCGTTGCAGTCCTCTCTGCATTAGATTAGTAAATAGAACTAATTGTGCATGCTAATTCCTCTATATTTTTGTTGTATTATTCTGTGAAATGAATTCACAGCTCATTACATTATACAAACAACAGGTGGCGCTATTGTAAATTAACAGCTTTAACTGACAAGTTTAGACTATGTGACTAACCAAACTTAATTTTTCCTATTTTTCTCTCACACAGTTATGCTAGGCAGGTTTTCGGCTCGGTCAAATTTTTCAAAAGTTTTGTACTGTTCGAAGGAACACTTGCTTTTATTTAATGCTCCTTTGCCATGTAATAGTCCTTCTGAGTTTTATAGGCGACGATGGGCACCGCTACCTTCACGCGGCTGTATTACGCTCATAACTCTTGCATGTTTTCCCAAGGGTACGGCTGGCTGAGTGAAATAACTCATTGCGTGCCGCAGCAAATCAAACCGCTTTATGACTTTTCAGACAAATTTATAGCCTCGCAATCGGCCTGTTTCTGCTATTACTTTTCATTGTGCCATAAAGAACAGATTCCCTGTGCCACAGCGACCACAGCCCTGGACGGCAGGCGCTTTTTAACCAACGCATTGCATTTTTTACGAAGTGATTGAATGTTTGCACAACACCAACAGAGTACGATATTGCTCCAGTCACGCATGGTTAAATGAACAGTAGTCACATTTGTGTGAAATACAGCAGCGTAAGTGGGATGTTGTAAGCTGGAGAGTCTTTACTGAGAATGTCAAGATGGATGTTATGCCCTCAGTGATCCATGAACGCACACGGCGCAGCATTGAGGGAGAGCTGTGTAATTCACTTTAAAGAGCGAGGGAAGAATTTAATGTGGCCTTCACTTCTACATCTCTACTCTTTCTTTGCCCACTTCCTCTGTGTGAGAGACTCAGAAATTGAGGCTTTAGAAAAGAGACGACTAAGGGAAAATGCAGACTGAAAAGTGGTAGTTCATCCAAAACTGCACATTCTGTCATCATTCACTTGCCCTTAAGTTGTTCCAAACCTGTATGAGTTTCTTTCTTCAGTTGAACACAAAAGAAGATGTTTTGAAGAATGCGGGTAACCAAACAGTTTCTGGTCCCCATTGACTTCCATTGTATTTTTTGTCTGTACTGTGGAAGTCAATGGGGACCAGCAGCTGTTTGCTTGCTTACCCACATTCTTCAGAATATGTTATTTTGTGTTAAGCAGCAGAAAGAAACTCATACAGGTTTGGAACAACTTAAGGGCGAGCAAATGATGACAGAATGTACATTTTTGGGTGAACTATCCTTTAAGGAAGTATGTGGATTAATTAGCTTCAATTAAAACTTCAAATTTAAATGTCCTGATTACATGCATGTGTAAAACAGGGATGTATAAACAAGAAATTTACATAAAATGTCACGGGAAACACTTACTTTGAAGGCTTATGTGCATTATGTGCAATCCTTGAACCCAAAATGCATCTGATTCAGACTCATTTTACTTTGATTATGTTTTCATTGTTGTGACAAATGCTTTTATATGAATTCAGCTGCAGCTTCAGTAATACATGGGGAAGTCGTGGCCTAATGGTTAGAGAGTCAGACTCATAACCCAAAGGTTGTGGGTTCGAGTCTCATACCGGCAGGGATTGTAGGTGGGGGGAGTGAATGTACAGCGCTCTCTCCCACCTTCAATACCACGACTGAGGTGCCCTTGAGCAAGGCACCGAACCCCCAACTGCTCCCCAACAGCATAAATGGCTGCCCACTGCTCCGGGTGTGTGTTCACAGTGTGTGTGTGTTCACTGCTGTGTGTGTGCACTTTGGATGGATAAATGCAGAGCACTAATTCCTAGTATGGGTCACCATACTTGGCCACATGCCACATCACATTTGGTTGTTGTTTGGCCTTTATGGATTTATTTACACTGCCATTCAAATTTGTTTTTATATATTTATGTATTAGTTTTTTTTTTTATAAATTAGTACTTTTATCAGCAAAGGTTAATCAAATTGATCAAAAGTAACATGGTAAAGACCTTTTTTTATATATATAAATGTTCTTTTCAACTTTCTATTCATCAAAGAATTTTATTGTTTCAACAACAAAAATAAAGAGATAAAGAAAATGAATAAAAAATGTTCCTTGAGCAACAAATCAGAATCAGAATCAGAATGAGCTTTATTGCCAGGTATGTTTACACATACGAGGAATTTGTTTTCGTGACAGAAGCTTCCACAGTGTAACAGAATGACAGTGACAGAACAAAAAACACAGATAATAAAAAAATTAAAAATAAAAATAGAACAAGTAAATAAGGAATAAAAATATACAAATCGACAATTGTATGTACAGGTATATAACAATAGACAGTTGTATGTACAGGTATATTATGTGCAAATTGAAATGTAGACTAAGTATGTGTGTTAGATAAATAAGTGTATGAGTGGATAAATAGTGTGTGTTCCACAGTTATTGTTAAGTGTTCATGAGATGGATTGCCTGAGGGAAGAAACTGTTCCTGTGTCTGGGCGTTCTGGTGCTCAGTGCTCTGTAGCGTCGACCAGATGGCAACAGTTCAAAGAGGGAGTGTGCTGGATGTGAGGGGTCCATAGTGATTTTGCCAGACCTTTCGCTCACTCTGGATGAGTACAGTTCTTGGAGAGAAGGGAGGGTTGTACCAATGATTCGCTCAGCAGTCCGGACTACCCTCTGTAGTCTTCTGAGGTCAGATTTGGTAGCTGAGCTGAACCAGACAGTTATTGAAGTGCAGAGGATGGATTCAATGATGGCGGAGTAGAACTGTTTCAGCAGCTCCTGTGGCAGGTTGAACTTCCTCAGGTGGCGAAGGAAGTACAACCTCTGCTGGGCCTTTTTAACAATGGAGTCTATGTGAGTGTTTCACTTCAGGTCCTGAGAGATTGTGGTGCCCAGGAACCTGAATAACTCCTCTGCGGTCACAGTGCTGTCCATGATGGTGAGTGGGGGGAGTGCAGGGGGGTTTCTCCTGAAGTCCACGGTCATCTCCACAGTTTTGAGCGTGTTGAGCTCCAGGTTGTTGAGACTGCACCAGACAGCCAGCTCTTTAACCTCCTGACTGTAAGCAGACTCGTCACCGTCCTGAATGAGGCCGATGAGTGTGGTGTCATCTGCAAACTTCAGGAGCTTGACAGAGGGGTCTTTGGAGGTGCAGTCGTTGGTGTACAGGGAGAAGAGCAGTGGGGAGAGAACACAACCCTGAGGAGCTCCAGTGCTGATTATATGGGTGCTGGATGTGTATTTTCCCAGCCTCACTAGCTGCTGCCTGTCTGTCAGGAAGCTGTTGATCCACTGACAGACGGAGGTGGGCACGGACAGCTTAGTTAGTTTGGGCAGGAGGAGGTTTGGGATGATGGTGTTAAAGGCCGAGCTGAAGTCCACGAACAAGATCCTCACATAAGTCCCTGGTCTGTCTAGATGTTGCAGAACATAATGCAGTCCCATGTTGACTGCATCGTCCACAGACCTGTTTGCTCAGCATATTAGAATGATTTCTGAAGGATCATATGACACTGAAGACTGATGAAGTGATGCTGAAAATTCAGCTTTGTATCACAGGAATAAATTACATTTGAACATATATTCAAATAGAAAACAGTTATTTTAAATGATAATATTTCATAATATTTTATTTCACTTTTTTCTGCCATTTTGATCAAATAAATCCAGCCTTGATGAGAATAAGATATTTTTTTTCAAAAACATAAAAAAAAAAAATCCTTTTGAACAGTAGTGTAATTAAGAAAATGAGGAATTATTGAAGCCCCCTCATGGTGAAAGATCCTCACAAATGTGTTGATGTCTTGGTTAATGTTATAAATTGCTTTGGAAAACTAACATCGAAGGCTTTCGGATCTCAAACTCCTCATCCTCTTACAGCAGGAGAGCAGCGTGAGAGGAGGTCTGAGCACGGAGGACCTGGCGCCTCCCAAATCGGTATATGCCATTAACAAGCTCCCAACACCTCATCTGAATCCCTTTAAAAGAAGCCCATATCTCACAGATGCTCAGCCTCATCATAAACTTGAGCATCTTCTACTCATCTTCAGTGTACTGACATTTAGGGAATGTGTGTTTGATGATTTTCTCTTGAAGTCTATATTTTTTTACATTTAAACCTCTTCTCAGGATTCTACACTGAGACATCAAGGCCACGCCCCTCAGAAGCCAGTGCGAAGAAAGCTCCACCCCGAAAGTGAGAGTGCCACGCCCCCCTCGGCCACGCCCTATTCTGCTGCAACATTGACCAAATCTACACAGAGGTCCATATATTTGTATTTATTTTTTGTAATGGCAGTGTTTACAATAGCATATTATTGCTTAAAGATTACTTACAAAAGTAAAAGAGTTAAGCAAATATATTAGAAACTGCAATAATAATAGTAACAATTTCAAACGTGTTAAATATACAATATTATATAGGGAATGGCAATATTTACAACAAGTATTGATAATAACTTATTCTTGATTATATAATAATAATAGTAATAATAGAAATAAATGATAATAATCTAAAATGTGTTAAATCTATAATATAAAATCAATACAAGAATGACAGTTTTCAGTAATTATCGCCAATAACATATATTTGCTTAAAGATTACTTTTAAAAATAAAAGATTAAGCAAATTTGTAAATTAGAAAAAACAAATGTCCTATGTTAATTACAATAATATAAAATGTATTTAATATATATCATATAAAATATTACATATGCAATAGCACTGTTTACAGTAACTATTTACAAAAAGCATGCTATAGTTTAGAGATTACTTATAAAAATAAAATAAAAAAGTAAGCAAATAAAAATAAAATCATGTATTCAATTTATAATATGAAATATTAAAATATACAAGAATGACAGTATTTACAATAACTACTGACAATGACTTATTATATCTTAAATATTACTTAAAAATAAGCAAATAAGTAATTTTGAAAAAAATAAAGATGCAATATTAATAATACTAATAACAAAATGTATTAACTATATCATATAATATAATACATTTAAGAAACATATGAATAAACACCCCTCTTACACAACACATCAGAGAACAAACAGCATGTATCAGTGATTTATAAATGCTAAACAAGCGGGGTCATGAATTGAACACCATTGAAAGCTCATCTACACATGCATACACAGGTGATGATTATCCGCTCTTGCGTTCCAGGCCTCCACCCAAGCAGAAGAGAGAGATCCAGATGGCCATAAGGAAGAACCGAGAAACCAACGCAGTCCTGACACGTCTCAACAGTGAACTACAGCAACAGCTAAAGGTGCCCCTTTATGACCACTTATACTTACAGTTCACTCAAAAAAAAATCAACATTCTGTCATCATTTTCACACCCTCCTTTGCGTTCCATGGAAGAAAGAAAGTAATATGGGTTTGACATGAGGGTGCGCACATGATGACAGATTTTATTTTTGGACGAACTATCCCTTTAATTGTTCTGCTCTTACACATGGTTATTCCAAGAAGCCAAGACATTAATAAATAAATGGCGTCCATTGATACCTAAAATGTTAGCAGTCTCATGTGATCGGATCTGGAGATTGAAGCTGTCTGTTCACACATCGTTAGTTTTCTAGATGGGCAGCACATACTATTTCCGACACCTCTAGCCAGACCGATCAGATATCTCTTCTAGTCTGGTATTGGACGCATGCCACTCTTATATATAAACACAGGCAGCTAGTGTTTCCCTGAAGAGTTATTGAGTGACTGGAGATGGTCTAGAGTTGCAGTCCTCAAATCATTCAGAGATCAATGAACACACACACACACACACACACACACATGCTGGCTTTCTGAAAATGCAAGGTTGGACTCCGGTTCAAGCAGTTGTCTTCTTTAAAATAGTGCATCCTGCAGCAGCTGTTGTGTTTGAAATGAGGCTGAGATGTTTCTCGTGAGCATCAGAATGTGCTTGGAAATGCATTTTACCATCGACAATGAGAGCAGAAAGAGAGAGTGAGGGAAATGAAAAGCGAAAGATGCTAGACTGCTGCTCATAAACGCCCATGTGCAGATCAGGTTGCATTGCATGCTGGGAACTGTTAACCTGTGAACCACTGTACGCTATGTTACGACTCTCACGTCACAAAGTGTTTGTTTTCTAGTCTTAAGGTCCTAGTCCGAAATTCTCGTCCGAAATGTTCACACGTTAAAAAATAAATACAACCTGATGTGTCAATCACGTTTACACTGCTTCTGAAACTTTCGTCCATCATTAAAAAATGTGGATCGGGTTCAGTTTACTGATTGTTCTAGAAGATACGTGATATACAGGACTTTAATGACAAATGAGGACAGGTAGCAGTAAATGTTCCAGAAACATCAGTGAGCGTCAGACCAGCCGCTTTCATCCTTTTGTTTGATGTCATCTGAAGGGCGTGACCTCAGGTCATTCTGACCAGCAGTCAGTGGCATTCCTCATATGACAGATGTCGGTGTGCTCAAAACATTTGTCAAATAAGGATCAACTTATTAAGCCAAGCAATGCTTGTACTATTGCTCATATTTGAGATTTGCAACCACTCAAAACACCCCAGCAACCTCACAGCAGCACACAATTCACTGAGAAAACCTTAGCAACTGCATAGCAACACATTAAACCCAACCTAGCAACTGCACGGTAACACAGTAAATTCACTCAGAACACACTAGCAACCATATAGCAACACACTAAAACCTCTCAAAACACCCTAGCAACCGCAGAGCAACACCCTAAACCCACTCAGAAGACTTTAGCAACCGCATAGCAACACGTTAAACACACTCAAAACACCCTAGCAAGCACATAGCAAAACCCTAAACCCACTCAGAACACCTTAGCAACCACATAGCAATACACAAATCCACTCAAAACACCTTAGCAACCACATAGCAACACATTGAATCCACACAAAACACTTTAGTAACCACATAGAAACAACTTAACCCACTCAGAACACCCTTTTAACCACTTAGAAACACACTAAAACCGCTCAAAGCACCCTAGCAACCACATGGCAACACCCTAAACCCACTCAGAAAACCCTAGCAACCACATAGCAACACACAAATCCAATTAAAACACCTTAGCAACCTCATAGCAACACACTAAACCCACTCAAAACACCCTATCAACCACTTAGAAACACACTAAAACAGCTCAAAACACCCTAGCAACCGCATGGCAACACAATGAATCCACTCAGAATACCTTAGCAACCTCATAGCAGCACCCTAAACCCACTCAGAACACCCTAGCAACCACATAGCAATACACAAATCCACTCAAAACACCTTAGCAACCACATAGCAACACATTGAATCCACTCAAAACACTTTAGTAACCGCATAGCAACACCCTAAACCCACTCAGAACACCCTAGCAACCACATAACAACACACAAACCCAATTAAAACACCTTAGCTACCTCATAGCAACACACTAAACCCACTCAGTACACCCTATCTCAACCACTTAGAAACACACTAAAACAACTCAAAACACCCTAGCAACCTCACAGCAGCACCCTAAACCCACTCAGAACACCCTGGCAACCACATAACAACACATTGAATCCACTCAGAATGCCTTAGCAACGGCACAGCAACACATTTGGATTTGGATGAAAACCACCCAAAAAAATCCTAGGACACCATAGCAACCGCAGTGAGTTCTGCATGTGCACACAACACTCAAATCATGTAAATATCAAGTTGTTGCTCTCAGAAAAGCTTGAGGAGATGTGGATTTAGATGAATGTCGGTCAGATCGCTTGTGTTTTGGCTTCAGGTTTTTCACTGTGAAAGAGCGGAGGATATCATAGTCCTGATATCATCGAGTCAGCTTAGCTTATCTCAGATCATCACAGCTCTGTTTCTCTTCTTCATAAGGTTGTGCATCGGGAGCGAGTTACTCTGGAATCCCAGCTGGAGTTGCTGCGGCCCGTGGCGTCGACCTGACCCGACCCGACACGCGCTCGCTGTCCCTCTCTTTTTGTCTCTAATACTGTGAGCTGGGACAGGATACGCACTTTAAGTGACCAAGCTCTTGGGATGCCACAAACACTGTGTCAGAAGCACAGGAAGAGGATTTTACCTCCACGGGAGA